GTAGCTTGGAAAGACCTATGTACTCCAAAAAGAGAAGGTGGATTGGATATCCGGAGAATGAAAGATGTATCAACTGTTTTCTCATTTGGAGATTATTTGAAGATGTTGGCTCATTGTGGGTCGCTTGGACTCGCTGCTATCTTCTTCGAAAAAATTCATTTTGGGATATCTCTACTACTACTACTAGAGTTTCATGAATGTGGAAGAAGCTGCTAAAACTGAGACCGCTGGCATCAACCTTTCTCAAATCAGAAGTGCGAGATGGAAAATCTACCTCTTTTTTATTTGATAATTGGTTAAATGTGGGATCCTTGATACACATCACCTGAAATGTTGGTACAAGAATATTGGGGGTATGCCATAATGCAAAAGTCGTGGACATAGTGGAGGGATCTACTTGGATAATTAGCCAGCCGCGAGGTCTTCATCTTTAAGATATGATGCAGAGAATATGATAAACCTAGCTGCCGTCTCTCGCTGCATGCCTAGATCGTAAGCTCCGGCTACAGAGACCTAATAAGTATGAGTCAAAGTTCTCTACGAGATGTACTTGAGAACAAATTAGAATCGCTCAACCTATCATCCCCTGGCAACGTTTTGTTTGGTTTCCTCAAGCTATTTCGAGACAAGCTTTCATCTCATGGTTGGCTTTTTGGAATAGACTATCAACTGGTGATCGAATGAGACAATGGGGAGTAACACAACCTTGCTTGCTCTGCGGGGAAACGAGTGAGACATGCGATCGCTTATTCTTTGCGTGCCCTTTCTGGCTTTCTCATACACGATATGGACAATGCTGACATCAACTCTTCTCGGATCAAGGATAAATCCGGATTGGAATTTGACGGTCACTAGCCTCAATCAAAACAAGCTTTCAAATATGGATGCAACTCTAGCTAAGATGGCTATCCAATCAACAATTTACTTGATTTGGAGAGAAAGGAATGGAAGACGACATAACCAACCACTGCACTCGCCTCTCCAGCTTGCCTATACGGTACACAAGGAGATCGAGATCCGCCTACTCTCTCGTCGTCGAGAAGGGACAAAGGAAACAACAACGGAGGACGGACACAGTCGCTGGGTTGAGATCACCAGGCTCTCGACATAGGAAGATGTTTCTCTCGCTACCAATCTGACAAAAATTTCAGGCTCTGTTTTTGTAAACTTGGAAACTCTCATTGCTTTGTTTTTTTATGATTTACGAAGCACAAAGCTTCAATTCAAGTTGGTTTAAAAGGACTAAAATTTATATTTTGTAATTTGTTTTGCTG